CAAACATTTGGGGTGGGGGGAACTTATGCTACTTCATTTGATGTGATTCCCACAACCGTATTGCCAATGTTAATTTACAAGCGGATTGATATAGTAGACACAACTCTTTAAATTATCACCCCCCACCAAATAAAGTCACAGGTGGACAGATCGAGCGATCTGGGAGACCATAAACCTGCAAAAAGTGTACGCTCTTCTCCGAAATCACTATGAAATTGCATCAATGGAAATCGTCAAGTATTTGCCAAAGCACAAAAAGCAGATTCTTGTTCTTCCTTCTTCAGCTACACAATGATTGTGGCTGAATCCGTTTCGATGCCAACTCTTCTCATAGTTCAAGGTGCAATAGAACACATTTTGCCAACAATCCGCTAGATTGAAACTGCACACCAAACGCATATTTTTGTGCCACGTAGGGGGTACATTAAAGTGCTCCCTGAGAATACCCAAATTGACCAATAGCGAGTGCCATGAGAGATGGCGTATAAGCTAAGGTGGAACCACAATTCTCCTGTGATAAGGTAAAGATCTGGATCCAGATAGCCATTAACGATGTGGGTGAGTAATCATTGTCAATAATTTAATAAATTTGCGTAGGTTGCAATGTTTGCGTCACCCTTACTTTGTACGCTTGCATATTTACTTGCTTCAACCTGCTCTGGCATGATGTCTGTTTGATATTTTATTGGGTGGATTGAAATCTGGCTAATTTTCGTGGATTACTCGGCTAAGTCTCGTGAACAAACCGCATGCACACGGTTGGGTTCGACATTGGTGACCGAGCCTGAAGCACTGAGCAACAGTTTCAGCAGGTGTGGGTGTGCGAGGATATTCGCCAGCGTGACTACACGCTTCAGGTGACTATATGCTTTGAAGCGAATGCTGCATCAATACCAAACAGACTTCTTCGAAGACGGCGTTCAATAGATAACAAGACTACCTTATTCCATGTGGTCACCAGGGATTTAGAATACAAGGTTCTTGTAATACTATTACTCTATCAATGGTCAACGTTAGGAAATATTCGGGATTGTAAAATATTAAAGGTATGGTAACTGTAGAAAAAGTGCTTTTAAGGGAACTTTTCCGACTCAAATATCCCATATTGTTGTACAGACGTGGGCCTCTAAATCAGTAAATAGAATTTTTTGTGTGGACAAAGTCAAATGTGGCCAGAAGCTCCATCGTGTGCTAGTACTCAAGGAAACAGAATTTGCATTAAAAGTTAGATTTCCATATATTCAAAATGCTGCAGACATCTTTATATGGGGCGTTAGAACGTGGTGAACATTTTATGTGATTACGTCAAGGTTGTCTTATTATTTAGCTGAAACATCTGCATGGTTGACTGATATTTTGGTTAAAACGAAGCCTGACTTTGTATAGGATATGGAGAACGATAAGGCTTATCAATCTTCTAAATTAGTCCGCCATTATATAAGTCAAAGTATTATTCAAAACGACTATCAAAAATTAATGATCATGCAAAGCTCTATATGCTTGCAAGCTTGATAGTACTTAAAAAGCATTTTGATAGGAGATAATTGTGAAAGTGACTTACAGAACCCCCTCTAGGAACCGGCGAAAGCATCACATTATTCCTGTGTCGTTCCTGCTCGATTGTCTCCTCTAGACTTTTCCACCAACTGTTCTTTTCATTTCCGTCCCTGAAAGAAACGATAAAATTCAAAGTGAAGTAGTTATGACCGATAAATTCTTGGCAATCTCATTTCAGCTATGTTAAAACTGGGGAGGTGAGCGATAGACTAACCTCCACGTGGAGCATTCTGGCAAGGTATACTCATACGACAAAAAAGTCCATAAATAGACAGTTGACCGTAAACTACCATGACCCTACCATTACATCTGTCTGACATCTGTGAATCACTCTTCTGTTCACCCCCCCCCTCCTCCTACTTTGTGACTTGTCTGTCCCCCTTCCCCATCTGTGGTGCTCGAAGTCAACTAAGGGGCAAATGATAGCTAACATAAAGACCGCCATTTGATAAAAATAAATGTTATGATTGTAAACTGCTGGAGGTCAAAAGATTAAGTTATCCTCCCAACTGATTCCTCTTGATTAAAACAAACCGATTAATATGCGTTGAAGTCGTGAGCAATAAGGTGTTGTAACCCAGGTGACAAGTAGTTAGATTTGAAAAATGGATTCTAGGCACACATCTCGTCAATATTGCACAACCCGAATCAAAAGTTCAATTGAGTTGCTATTCTTTGATGTATTAACATTGTTTTCAATGTCTTCCTCTTATCATTACCGTTCAAACAGATTTGCTATTAACAGAGTTCCGTTAAAATTGCAAATTTTTTTGCTTTGTTGCTGCCAATAATGATGTGTTGGAATTAGGATTAGACCCATTGAAATAGCTCTAAATACGCCTAATACAGTGCTAGATCCAGCACAGAATGTAGGTTGAAGATAGGATAATTCATAATTAAACACTTTCATAATCTACTATTCACCATTTGACTAGACGCACCCAAAATTGGATTCCATAATTGAGAAAATTAGTGGACATTCTCTTGTTTAGGCAAAGTATACTAAATCGATTGTTAATTTATTCTGGCTATTTATGCTGTTGGAAATTATTATTATTATTATTCCAAATGGCGGGCTTTATGATATTTATCATTAGCCCATAAACTTTGACTTCAGCTTTCCACATGGGTGGGGGTACATATATAGC